GCACGTGACTCGCGGTACAACGCTCGGTGATCGCATGAACGTTGCAGCGTGCTCAAGTGTCTGACGATAAAGTGGTAGTTAGTGGGCGAACTTCTGTTCGTTCCAATCAAGATTTTGAAATGACTCAAAATGCGGAAGAGGAGCGATTGCGTCGATAACTTCTTAATAAGATAATTGAAGGATGTGCTGCTACATTTGCCTTCGTTAAAGTTACTAATAATGAGCTTTGCGCACGTCACGCGTTTTCTCTTGTTATGGTAGAAGTCATATAGAACTTATTTCAAATTCACGTCAATAAATTGAATAATAAATCAATTTTATTTAATTAATAATTTTTTTGTTATATCGCTATTTGTACTTTAAAATTTTCTAAGCTAAATCTATCTTTTAACTAATTTTCGGGGGTGAAGTATTTTCTTATAACTCTCATTGTTAAAATACTGAACGTATTTGAAATTCAGATATTTTTCCCCGGAATGAAGGGAGAAGAAATCCATCTGACCTCTCTTTATTCTCCTGACCAATTTACATAGCCTTAAAGTTCCTCCTGATAGAGTTTTTATTTAAATAACTTCATATCCCAAACATCCATCCTTCAGTATCTTATCGGTTTTTACCACTTTTTCGATACTCTCGGTAGATTTTCTTTCATTGTTTAAAAATTTTTCAACGAAAATTGAATGTGGAAAAATAAGAAGAAAGAGGAGGAAAAAAAAATAGAGGAATAGACCTATATCTTGTAATAATTCTTACAGAACGCATATCTCGCTGGCAGCACACTCAGGTATGGGATCATTAGAAACAGACTCTAAAGTATAAACGGCAGGGGGTTGAAGACTGATGACACTGTGGATAAACAGAGCCACTCGGGAGATTGTGATGAATAGGTAACTGTTCTCAAACACAGGAACCCATCAAATATTCACTGTAACCTGTACTGCCACTGCCAATTACTGTAATGTAGATCTCTTGTAGAGAGTTCTATGGTATTATCGGAATGGCATCTTTGATAAGTATATAAGGGGAAAAAATTATTTCAACAGATAACATTTATTACCAGTTGAATGATTAGGAGGTTTTTCTCCGCGATTATGGTTAGAACGTATTATCCGAACGCTCACTACAACGATACAATTACATTAAAATAATATTCAAATTTGTATGTGAAACATAAAAGAGTAAACGGTAGCGGATTAAGGTCATAGGTGGCGCAATAACGATGACAAACGCAACAGACATTTCGTGACACGTGACCCTCTTGAGGTCATTATTGTCAGATGATCAACTCTGAGATAATTCTTATCAAAGGCGTGGCTCGCCAGCTTCGCAGCACTTATCAAAACGCCTAACAATCCGTTTGGCAGAACACATTTGTTCAATTCATATCACGTCCTAGCAAAAGATTAATCGTGCCGTCCCCAAAGATTCGCTCTAATTTCTTTGACAGTTCGAATTATCACCATGTTCTAACTAACCGTAATACGTGTCGAAACGAAGAATACCTTTATTCCTATTGTACATTTGGGAGATGATCTCTGTTGCATTGACTTTAAACAAATTTTTGTACCAGTGCATAACTTTAATTAAATATGTGCAGTTACATTGATAAATGTTTAATTTTTCTCCTACATAATTAATTATCTATCATTTATGATGAAGGGTATATTTATTTTATACGAGAATCGCATGGAAAGATCTCATTATCAAGAATAAATTGGAAAGGGTTGGCATACGTATATAATACCTTTTAAGAGTTTGTATTTTATAGAAATTTGGATACATTGGATAACACTAGAATATTTGAAAGCAATCATTTTTAAAATATAGATTTAAACAATAAGATTTTAAATTCTGTTTAACGCATGCCAGACGTTTCTATCGCACTCGAAATTGCACTACCTTGACAATTGAAAGAACGTGGAAAGTCCAAGTAAAATGGGGTAGAGAAGGCAGTAGAATAACATGGGGGTGCTAAATTAGCAATTGGGTTTGAGGACTCGGCTCATTACCTTTTCTACGCGGTCAGCATATAAGTGGAAAATATTTGTCTTGTCACGTGCTCGTCCTGGCTTCACTTGTGAAGTATATCGCGTGCTATTTTTCATTAGGGGAGCACATGGTTCTCCTCCGCATGTACAATTCCATTTGCTGTATTTATGACGGATAGCAACATGCCAAGGAAGCAGACAAATCGGAAAAGTTGCTGCTGGATATGGAATACAACTTTGACCTGGAAAAGACTGAAAGAGCCAAGAGATAAATGTAATTTTGCTTTTCCGCCACGGTTTATCTTTCAAATTTCAGTTTAGGAAACTAAACAAATTTCATTCACTTGTACCAGGTATATTGTTGGAAGATTTACACGAACTGTCAAAATTACAATAAATAATGATAACTCGAAGATTGTTTCCGAACTTATATTAATATATTGTTTAAATTTGTATTAGCTGATACTAACATTTATTTAAAGCTTAAGCCGTTCTAATATCTCGATTTTCTATTTTTATTCTAGAAATTTTTGATTAATGAACTAATTAGTAAATTAAATTTAACGAACTAAATAGAAAGCTTCAATGAGTAGTTTTTGTTTAAATCTTAGAATATAGTCAATTAGGATTTGTTTGTTCACAAACCAATGTACAGTGTATCCGACTTTGTCTAGAGATTAACGAATCTTCTTTCATCATCCTAATCAGTCCGAACGTCAACGGTCACGTCGTCTACTCTCTCGAGTAAACTAACTTGGAAATTTTTCCCCTTAGAGAATACAAAGGAAATAGGACAAAAGAACAAACAAGGGAAAAAAATACAAAATGGCGGAGACAGAAAAGATTCTTTGGCGTTTCAAACTCATAATTCTATTTCTGAAACTTCTCATTCTTTTAATAGTTAATGAATAGCCGGTATCCAATTTAATGAACGTTTGAAGTTTTGAAACGTCAAGAAAATTACAGTCAGTGAACATCATACTCCAGCAGAAATTAAATTCCTTTTATATCTAGACAGGTTGTTATTGGAAGTTATCTTTGAGAGAAAAGTTATCTCGATAAAAACTATAACAAGAATAATTTTAAGAAACAAGCCAATGACTTGTTTTACAATAAGCTAATTGTTTAAAAAAGATTTCAAAATAATGAAATGTTATCCGCCATTTTGCGTATACTGTAAAAATCATTCCACTAATTTTTAATTCATGGACAAGTTTAAACTAAAAAGAAATCGAACTGTATTCATTTATCTTTCTTGATAAAATGTAGATTTAAGTCTGGTCTTGGTCATGTTTATCCGTTACTCTACTGGGATGTCTCACCTAACTATAATAGGTATATAAATAATGTGTGTCTAAATAAGAAGCACAGAAACGTGTTTGGTTGAAGAAGCAAAAGGCTGTGTATCTCTTGATGATGCAAAAAATCGATACATCAGATTGATATTTATGTTTCTCATTTGCTGCTATTTGGAGTTGTTTCCTTTCCTACATCGACTGAATATAATAAATTTTCACATTTTTCTAGGATTTATCTGATGCATATTTTCATTTGAAGCCATTACATGTATCCCCAAATCCAGATTTAAAATGATTTTCAATATATATCTAGAACTTTACTCGTTTTATACGTTCTAATATATTTATAGTAATAAAATCGAATTCATTTTTCATCTCAAAATAGTTTTTTCGAGCATTTTCATTAATTATCTATTATAATATTAAAGAAATGATATTTTTAAATTTTTGGAAACTTCCATTTTTAACTTTACAGTATCACATTTCATCTTACGGCTATTTACATTATTAAAAATACTAATTTTCTTATTGAAACCCGAATTGATTGCTAGAGAATGGTTATGAAAAATACACTTTTCCATCTGAAATAATTAATTTTAAAAATTTAGTAGTCATAAAAATTATTTAATGTATGCATTTTGTATTTACTTTTTTAATAATTTTTTTGTAAGCTTTAAAAATTTAAATTGATTTCATGACTTTAAAATTAGTGTTTATTGTATAAAACATGTAATTTATAAGTTTTTAATTCGGTATTTCAATATTTCTTGCGTGTTTAAAAAGAATACAAAAGACTGTTTAGCATTAATCGACATTTTTTTAAAATAATTTATAAAAGCATATTTTATAAAAAAATTTTCTTTATCGAATTTTATCTTGTAGAAAATATATACCAATTCAAACGTAACAGTCTGCAACTTCTCTAAACATCGGAAGAATTGTACCTCCCATGCCTTGTAAAAGTAAAAAAACTACATTAATATATACTGTTAAACTTTACATTGTTTTAAATTAAATTATGCTAATCTACTTTTTGATCTGCCATTCTTTGTTATCTAAAGGGCAAACGTTCCTGTTCTTCAGCCAGCGCGAAATGCAATGGTAATGAAATGCTTGCTAGAAAAATACAATGAAAAGAATAAAGTAAAAAAAAATGTGCAAGAAAGAAAGCAATAATACGAAGTATAGCGTAAATTTACATTGCAACTGCCTCAAGCCACAGTACACACATCACTTTCTTGACCGCTGGCCAAGTAATCGATATCTGCAAAAATAAAATGTTTTTTTTTTTTCAGAAAATTATTTATTTAATGTGAATTACGGAACCTTTCGCCGTTCATCGTCTTCGCTTACAGGGATCCGTGAACTTATTTCGACAAATGCCACAGATTTCCATCACGGTTTCTGATATTGAGAAAAAAAAATGCAATTATTAAATATAGACATAATATATAATAGAACAAAGATAAAGAATTTAGAAGAATATTTAATCAAATCTTACCCCAAGACCAGCAAGTAACAGCATTCCACTGAAAAATACAATGTTATTTAAATGAAAAATTATAAATTAAACGAAAATCTTTATAATCTAAAGTCTGGAATTCTCCAAAATGTGGATCATTATAATCCATACAAATATGTACTATAATACAAAAGCCAGTTATAAGCCCATAAGTAATATCTTGAGAGATATTAATATATTAATAAAGCTTACCTTTAACACTTTAAATCTAGTTCGATTATCACTGCCATTCGATTCTTGAGAAGTCTTGGGATTATCCTCATTACTAGCCATGGTAGAATGTTTCCGGCAGAATTAATTTTTCTGGCAGAAATAAAAAGTCGAAAACATAAAAAGCAAAGCTATTATTATTATTTTTAAATAATAACAAGAAAATTTGTTTAATTATCGGGCGGTTGTTGTAAAAATGTATTAAAATCAGAAAATTTTCATAAAAAATGTAAAATAATGATAATAAACTTAGCAATTATATCTAATGCTACAAACAAGATCGATTTTTAAATTTGGAAGCGCTTTTAATGGTCACGTTATCAGAATTGCGCTTCTTTGCCATAGCCAAGAAGGTCGAAAGACGAAAGATTGATTATATCGCATCAACTTTGATTGCTTATATCAGTTAACGTTTATATATATTCTCGTAATTGTCATTTGTCTCTTTTCAGCTATCATTATTGCTTTATATTGGAGATATTGCTTAGAATAAAATATTGTGTACCATCCATATGAGTCTTATCTAAACTATTTCCCTCTTTTATCATTCTGAATTTTCTCCGATTGCTTTCAGCTAAGGTGCATTTTTCAACCGGATTCAAGTATATAATTATGGAATATACTTCCGTATATACTGTACTATACGGTACAGCATAATTACGGAATGTAATGTCGTACGTAATATACCGCATAGTTTAATTTATTAATAATTACAAGGTTTAAGACCAAGTAATGTGATTTGAATATCGAAGAAAATATTTTTAAAGTCATACAGCTGTGTGGTAGGTCTATTAAATGTCGTTCTCATATTGTATTCAACAGCAACCTACTTCACGCAAAAACGTGTACGAAATAATATTTATTATCGTAGTGCATTCAAGAGGCATTTATTAATCATGTTATTTACTAAAGTAAAGAGGTGCTTTTATTATTGGTACCAGATTGATGCGAAATACCGAGATCATTAATTACAACCAAATCGAATAGAAAGGAAAATCTTAGCTTGAAAAAGTAAAAGGAAGTACAAAGAAAGAAAATGAATGGTACGGAATTCATCTAAATAATATAAATAAAAATTGAATCAGTCGAAAGAACTGATACAGTAAGAAGAATAGAAAGAAAGCTTCGTCCTGTATTGCATTTGTTAGTTATTATTATGACAATGATAAAATGCTAATAGAGCTTTGTTTAAGATGTTCTATATGCCGAGATTGGTGAGCTTTGAAGGATTTCGAAAGTTGTAATAAATTGATTTATTATTGACATACATAATTTAGCATCTCTTTTTTTCCTATAAAAGGAATAATGTTTAGAAGAGATTACATCCATAATAAGTTTTCCAGTCATTTTTCTTTTCTGATCAAATTTCTTATCTTCTTCTTTGCTAAATTAATCGAATTGAAAGACACCAAAATCTTTATTAATGACAAAATATTATATTTCATTTTGACTTTTGACAAGTTTCTAACAATGAAATGATTAAATGATTTTTATCCACTTTTAAATAGACAAAGTACAAATAAATAATTTTTTTAATATAAAAATCTCTAGCATTTAAATAAAATTTTATTTTCTAATTAGAAAATGAAATATTAAATACATTTTTAGATTCCCGTTAAGCTAATATGCTAAGCGCATTATATACTGTAACCTATAACCATTCGCCACAAATTCAATATCATAAATCAAGAACACAGACTTTAACTGCTAGGAACTAACTCGTTACGATATATCTTGCTATAATATCTTATATCAATCAATAAAACTCATATTTATGGCTGTAAAATATTACAAGATTATTTCAAGCTATAATAAAATATATTTTCAAATTTTCGCATATAAAAATATTTGTTTATTTTTAAGTGAATGAGAATAGAAATTCTTCACAGTAGGACAGTTCAATGATTTTAATATAATTACATGAATAATGTATATTCTTAGAATGATAAAAGCAATACATAAATAATTAAAACAGATCAATTAAATATTAAAATATAAGAATAATTTAAAAATATTTAAATAAAACAAAAATAAATGGTTCGTTCCACAACACTTTCGACGTCTTTATATATTAAACATTCATAAAAACTTTTAAACGAATTTAAAATTTTAAATACCTTTATTTTCTCGGTTATAGATTTCAAAATTAATTTTAGATTAGTTAAACTCGTTATTTAAATTCTTGAAATTACAATTTAATTTAAGCATTTGATGTAAATATTTTCCAATACAGTATTCTATATTTAGGCTATACTTTTTCAAACATTTGAATAGAGTGAAAAAAAGATAATAACTTCAATTGCGTTTAAATTCTAAAATGTTTTTTCATACAGTATCGTTGAATTTTTAATATTTTATTAAATATAAATTCTAAAGTGTTTTAAATATTTTTTTAAAATTTTAATTTTATTTTCGATTTTTAAAAAAGGAAATTGAACCGAGATCGTATCAAAATGGAATAACGAAAAGTAAATTATTTTATCCAAAACTATTCAAAAGGATATTTCAATAAATCAAATAGGCAATTTTACAAACGTGTTTGTAGTTTTTATTATAATCAGAAATAGATTATGGATGATTATATATTTTGAATGATTGGAAAATCTTTCTTCTTCTTGACAACTTTCGTTTCCCTCATCATTATTTATCTGACAGTGAACTAATTTATCTAGTAGTCATCAGTAATGAATATTCATGTATAAAGTTAGGAAAAAGATCCACAGGATTAATTACTCTGTTAAGTAAAGAGATGGCGAAAATTTGCCGAAGGGTAGAACAGAATTTCTATGATCAGTAATTAGCTCTAGTGAATGAAGGACTTCATTTCCAATCAATAATGAATGCCGACTTAGCAAACATTACTCCCTATAGTAATGTTCTCGAATTAAAATTTTTATTAATTTTTTTTTTTAATAAGGCTATTTAGATATTCTTTTTGTGAAAATTTCGTGTGAATGTTGCGCTAATTTTAAATTAATTAACCATTTAATTATAATTTATTATATTATTATTTAATTAAGGACTTTAACTGGAATTTGAAAAGGGTTGAAGACTCTAGTTTCGATTCTGTGCACGAGAGGGAGCGATGGTGACATATAAAGACACGTAATTCACTTCAAAAGTTCATCCCGGGTCGCAACTTTTCGAGTCTTTCACAAAATGTATTTAGATGAAGGCTGCTGAGAAGTGAAGAATGGTTTAATTATCCAACATAAAGCTGGGATTGACGTTTTTCCTATAAATTTTTTTACAAAAGTCTTCTGTATCTTAAATTTTTTAATGCATTTTTTTAGATATAGTACTTTTCTTTATACCCACACACATAAAAAATCTAGACTAAAACAATTTTATTTTATCTAAATTAAAGTGTTGGGCATTAAAAAAATATTTTAAAGCTAATAAAAAAAGGGAGAAACTTTTGTTTGCATTGTTCGAAAAGAATAAATAGTTTATATATATTTTAATCAATGAAATTTTCGATAAAAGCTTAGAGTAATAGAAGGAGGATAAAAAACAATAAAGTTCATCTCAAAGACGCTATGAAGTAAATGGAAAACTTAAATGGTTGTTTCAGAGTTTTTATTAGAAAATCACTCTTCCGCCAGTAATTTACAGTAGATAGAAACCCTAAGATAAATATTTGGAAATTAAAGATGGAGTCGAAGCATCGACATGGAGCGCAGGAGTGACAGAAAAAATCAATTTTCTGGATCGTTTATAAAATTGCTATCACAATAAGAGCCACTAATAATACTGCGAGTAACGATCCTACCGTGTTTGCTTTAGCTACACATAATACATTAACTAGATAGTTTCGGTAAAGTATATAAAATACATCCGAAATTAGAATTCGTATTACACCATACTTCAACCAACAAGTAAATTGTCTAAACGATTTTAATTAAATGTAACAAAAAATAGAATGGGGAAAAAAACTAAAGAATGAATTGTTTATAAACTGACAAACTTTGTGAAGACTCGGTTAGCCACAAGAAAGTCAAACAATAAGTTAATTCCGTTGACGTCACCCTACAGTATCAAGCAACAGGGCAAACATGGTAGAATATCAAAAGACAGGAAATGATTCCAGTGACCGTAACATTTGTGACGGAGTTGAACGATGAAAGGAATTTCCTCTTCCTGAATAGAGCCCTGTTCAATATTTCAACACGACCTTCTAACTGACATCATTGAAATTCTTATTAGTTGTATTAAATTATATAGTTTTACTTGCGCAGATGCTGTTTGCATCAGGAAATTAAAAATATCTCCTGCCAGTCTCATGCATGAAAAATATATTTTTATCGGCTCCAAATTATATACAATCAGTTCAAACACTTTCAAAGTTAATTAGTTTACTTTAATACTTTAAAATACAATGTCAATACCGGTAAAAGAATAAAATCCGAAATGTTTCTCTTTTGAAAACTTCAATAATAAAAGAATTTTGTAAAATTTAATGAAATTTAATTAAAAACTAGTTTCTAATTGCATGAAATAGCTGAAAAAAAAAAAGTTGAAATTAGATCTTCATGCAATTAAAATTAATTATCCGTCTTCTAAACTCTCGCATAAAAATTTAACGATAATAAAATAATGGCATTTAAATTTTTAAATATATCGTTAAATAAACAGTACATAATCAATACGAATTTACTGAAATTAAATAGAAAATGATTTAATATTAAGTTTCCTCTAAAGTTCGAAGCGTTAAAAAGTTTCCAGGAACATTTTAATAGTAAGGAGACTATTTTTACATGTAATATTATTACCGAAGTAAAAATCTATGATATATATAATTGTAATATCTATAAAATTTGAAGTTTAATGGGCGGTTGAATCTTTAAAAAGCAAAATTGGGATCTTTCTACTTTAAAAAGTCACTTTTATCCATTTAAGAATGCATGCGGGTCTGCTTTTTCTATTCAAAGTGAATTTAAATTGTCAGTGAGAGCATCACGCTTACGAAAATGGATAATTACAGTCTCGATCACTAAACGAATCTTCCTCAAGGTGACTATTCATAGTTGCGAATATTTAACGTATGCAAGCTCTATCGATTGACCCATTTCAATAAAGCATAACATAATAAA